AACAGTCTGATCTCTTCGTCCAACAACTATGACTTGCAGATTCTTCGGATTCCAATCACAAGAGACATCTTCATGTCCCGTTTGCATCTCGTGAATACCTAAGTATAACATTTTGTCAGCTCTCTGTTTCACATGCACAGTATCCATACTGATCTCTGCAATACCACATCAAACTACATCGTGAGTCAGACATGCAGTATAGAGATTGTTGGTCAGGTTTCTACTTCAATCGAAAATTCGATTCCTGGATATCCACAGTTAATACCTAAGCAGAAATGATGCTCATTCTATCAGACCATATTCACACAATCCCATTGTGGTGAGAGCAGGCTGCTAGCCGATTGGTTGGCACTAATCCACGTTAAGGTCTAGGTCACTAATATGGGCCGTGAGAAAATATGAACAAGGCTGAGTCAACAACCAATCACAGCAAAGTTAACGTGGCAAAATATGATTCGCAGATAGAGAACTCTATTTGTCAAGGAATCCCGAAACAACCAATCAGAAGCCTGCGTTTGTCTACCTAACTTCTGATAAACAACCAATCAGATAACTGCGCTTGTCTATAATAATGTAGTTGAAATATGTATAAATACGTGTTGATTTTCATAATAAAACGATCTGTTGCCTGGCCCTTGTCTTCTGTTGTTACATTTGGTGTCGCTGCCTACCGACAAATGAAAAGCCTATACCCTGCAGTTTTCGATGGAGACATATGGATCTTCGGGCAGGACTTCAAGGCTTCTGCGCAGTTGAGTGGCGTTCAAGATCTGTCAGCGATGGAGCTGCTACTTGAGACACTGCTGGGAGGTCGGGCGAAAGCAGCATATGAAGGTGTGGGCCGAAGTATGGACGAATGTTCGACAGGGTCAGGCAAACAGTTTCCAAAGTGGGAAGGACCATATATGGTCACTTCGAGATGGGGTTACGCAGACACAGTCGCAATGGCGAACAATGAGAGGCGCGTGAACGTCAGCGAGCTCCAGAAATGGATACAGCGAGACAAGCCAACGATGACGCCTGCACCAAGTAGATCAAGCCGACTTCAGTCGCACGTATTTGACGGGGGGACGAGTGTGGTGAGAGCAGGCTGCTAGCCGATTGGTTGGCACTAATCCACGTTAAGGTCTAGGTCACTAATATGGGCCGTGAGAAAATATGAACAAGGCTGAGTCAACAACCAATCACAGCAAAGTTAACGTGGCAAAATATGATTCGCAGATAGAGAACTCTATTTGTCAAGGAATCCCGAAACAACCAATCAGAAGCCTGCGTTTGTCTACCTAACTTCTGATAAACAACCAATCAGATAACTGCGCTTGTCTATAATAATGTAGTTGAAATATGTATAAATACGTGTTGATTTTCATAATAAAACGATCTGTTGCCTGGCCCTTGTCTTCTGTTGTTACACCATTACTCACACCAGATTTCATGGTGTCTGTTAATCTGTACACTTCGTTATCGACAAGACTATTCTGAAGAATAAAACAGATGATTCTGTGGAGAGAAATGCCTTCTTCCTCGACGCTGTCATCTTCAAAGGCTGTACGTACACTCGTATTTGTATTTGCTCAAAACGTGAACTCGTCTGTCATTCAGTGATATGTGAAGGGGGAGTGTCGTATCCGATGCGATCACTTGGAAGTGGTTAACGAACGCAAACAGAAGTGGAATATCAGTCAGGAATAACTCATCAATCAGAGATCAGAGATGAGTCTAAGAATCTTCAGTTAACAGGTCTAGCAAGTTGACACTTCAGCCTCACGAGACACAATCCAATCACCCGTGAATGATAACTGTGGCACATGTACAAATTCTTACTGTAGGTAGCAACACAAACAGTCTGTCATTCATTGATATGTGAAGGGGGAGCGACGTAACTTACGCGATCTCTTGGAAGTGGTTAACGAACGCAAACAGAAGTAGAATATCAATCGAAGACACATTGGAACTAAGACTTCCAAATTGATGATGTGGTGATTTGTTACCGAGATTCGATTGATTTCCACTTGGATCACGAACAGATTTCAGTTAGGGGACCACTGTAAACCATCACTGGTGTGATGCGCAGACGCGTAATCCTTGTCGGCGACGTCTACTCAGCACGAATTCATCAATCACAGGTCAGAAATGAGTCTAAGAATCTTCAGTTAACAAGTCTAGCACGTTGACACTTCAGCCTCTCGAAACAGAATCCAATCACCCGTAAATGTCAACTGTGGCACATGTACAACTTCTTATTGTAGGTAGCAACACGTTCTTATTGCCTAGATCTGTCGTGAAGAAATTCTCAGACAGCGGTTCTAACATCGAACCCTATTCACGTTCTAACCAAATTTTGAAATATCCGACTACTCAGTATGCAGCTAAATAAGCGAAGCTATTTCTCATATGGTATGGCAGGATAAGCAACAGGATTCGGATTTTGAATCTATTGCCTGCATGATCATATCAAGTGAGTGACATAATATGACTATGAGCAATACTGCACAGATATGTCAATACTTGTCTACCTCGCCAACTAGTTGCTGAATACCGAAAGGTTTTAGCCACAAGCAACTCTGATAGACAATGAACTAACCACCAACTTATTACTCGACAAATGTGTGAAAAGGATTCCAGAAAAAACCACTGGACAGTCACTGGGATGACCATTGAGTCAGGCCGTTGGTAGCGACGGTTTAATCGTATTTCCAGATCTGATATGCAGAACATCGTGTGGATAGGAGGGAAAGGATTCATAGGAAATCTTGGAGCTAAACATGCAGGGCAGAGAACACAGGGAATTGGAGTTATGAACTATCTGTACATCTATGTTCCATGGCACCACACACTTCAATGCCTGCCTTATTTCACAGCCACTTGAATACTGTCGTCTGATATTCAACCAATGTACACAATACAACGCTCTAATTGGTGACTTTCCTTCGATCGACAAGAAACTAGAATGAAACAAAGTTCTCTGGCTCGAATAGAGCAGTCGGCTGACCATAGTTCAACAATAACATAACATCAAACACAACACATCAATTACCACTAAATCTAAACGAAAACCAATCACATGGAAGCATATGCACCCAGTAGATAAATCACATTATAAACACACAAATCTGGAACTATTTAAATCATTCCAGAGAATACTGACTCACATTTCTAAGCATACACAGTGAACATTTGTTCACAGAATCAAGTAGACTGTCAGTCTCAATTTATACTCCCTTACAGTTTGTTCAACAATTTCGTCAATCGGAACAAATGAGAAGGCATTGGAAAGATGGAACATTCGTCAATAAAGATGACCCACAACATACATCAAATTATGATCCTTTTCAACTAATAAGAATTTTGACCAGGAAAATAACGCCATCGCGGATTTTATTTATACTGAATGTGAGTTCTGTCTGTGTATATATATTTTGTGATTAGGGTTATTGTTGAGAGCCATAATTATGATTTCACTGGTTTCTGAGGGAAACGTTGATGTGCCACTGTGTACTCCGTAGTCCGACCTTACTTCCAACACGATGGCCAAAAGTCTTTGTTGTTCTCCTCCCCACATGATCTCCTTCCTACATGTCACATTCAGATAGAAGTAGAACTCGTGACAGTCACATACACTCAACCGGTGATATTCTGTTTGGTAATGTCACCCGCTGCTCATTCTTCTCACAATATATGGCACTAGATATCTATGCTCCATGCAGCACACTCATTCCTTGCATTACTATCACTGTAAACTTGTCATATTTTATTCATGCATCTATCTGTCAGTGATTATGTGGTGAGCTTGTGATACAAGTTGCCCCACAGTCACCAGTTGGCACAACTTTAGCCCTACTATCTTTTATAAAAGTTCCGAATTTCATTGTGCTGCTCCAACATTCATTCATTCCTTTGTGTCATCAGTCAGAAGAATAAGGCTTCATTCACCATTTAGTCTTTGAGGCTTCAGTAGCTGTGATTCCATGTTACACGCTTAGGTTGCTTACCTCACACACATTTAGACTTCTCACTTTATTTAACTCCCAAAATACTAGGTGAGGTCTGCAGAAGTGTATTAGGTAGGAATATGACCCGCATACGAATAATATCATCAAGCTGAAAATGGTATATACATATAATTTCTAACAGTATTTATCATCCCATGAAGACATTTTGACAAAATACGTGAATACTTGAACAGTAATAATAATAATTATAATAGTAATAATAATTATAATAAAAATGGCAGATGTGAAATGCAGTCAAAAATGTTATCATAATAATCACGCGTCAATATCAAGTGATATATAAGTACATGGATGTTGAAATCGAAACGTGAGATTCAAGGGATTGATATGTTTAGTGGTCAAATAGAAATATCACGCGAAACTGCACAAAGGAAGAACAATCAGATTAATTAGGGGAACGTACATAGATCAAATTGGCAAAATGCAAAATGAATAATGTTGGCTCCACTATGTCTGGATTAAATTCACAAACATTCTGATGACCTTCGTTGTCTTCAGAAGTTTGGAGAGAGGGAAACATCGCCGGCTAACATGAATTTGACAGGTATTTTTAGGACCATTGAATACTTGAATGAGGGGGATGAGGAAAGTCGACCAGGTATTGCAGAACACATCTCAAACTCTCATTCTCCCCTATACAGAAATTCTCGAATTTACTTTCCGACGACTTGGTAAACAGATATGCTGAATAGAAGAGTCACTTCACCCACTCAAATTGTCAACTGACATGCTACTTACTGCACTCTAGACAGAATGCGAAGAAGAAGAAAGTATCAAGGACAAATAGTGTCGAAGAGGACTCGGAGTTGGTTCTATTATGAAAGAATGACTGTGTTTCTGTCGACTAGTAGTTTATTTGAAGATTCTCTGTACAGTGGAGAAATGTCTTACAAAAGAAACACCACTGAGACTTCTACGTTGAATATCCTTGAACACGACTTTCAAGAATTAAGCTCACCTCATCCTTGTTATTTTAATTCCCATCAGGTATTTGCAATAGTGGTTATTCAGCTGGCGATTGCATTCGGTCTAACAGCTTTGATTACACAAATGTACGTTGTACAAATATTAATTGTTGATTTGTCTAAAAATTTAATTATTATTTAGACCAGAAGTATCCTACTGGACACTAACGCATACCATAGTTCTCTACGTGGTTTCGTAAGTTGGAATTCGACTTTTTTATAAGTATTTTGTTTTATATTACACATCTATGATTTGATGGTTAAACGACTTCTGATTATATGAGGTAGGTCTGGTTGGATTCCCTGTTTCCGACGAACTTCTACATACTTTACTCATTTGGTTGCCCACCTGCAAATAGGAAGACTAGAAAAGAGAGTAAGTTGGGTGAAAGCGAGGCTAATAAATTCACACCACGGTAAAACAGTAAGATTACGAATGAAACTTCACAGTCTGAAGTAAGAAGCCATAATTTCCAGGCGTCTAAGTAACCGGTTTCAACACAGAACTTCGCATATATGTGCAGCAGTTCGAGTTGTCACTCTCCCTCCGTGTAGCACACAAAGCAAAAGAAGCGAGCAAATAGAGCCTCAAAAGAGAGATGATAAACGGATGTGTGTATGAGGGTAAAAGAGTTGGAAGAGCAATAGAGTTTTATTGGATATGACAAATCACAAAAAGTGAATGCATCTCCTCCAGTGTGAACAGTTGTGAGCCGTATCACCAATAGTTCCCAGCCAATGTCTCCTACCATCTCTGGTACTCCAACCAGGAAGCCAACATCTCCCTTCGTGGCTGGCTTCAACTAACTGCTGTGGGGCTTCATTGACTGATGAAGCCATGTTTTGGTTTGACCATCATCAGCTTCTCTTCAACTTTACCCTTTTTCAGTTAACATTACCCGTAGAGAAATGTGATGGCTACACTGGCATGCGTTACATATGCCCTAACTACCTCGATAGATGTAACATCACACTCTGGACTATTGAGGTCCTTTCCTTACCTAGAATTCGATGACTAACCTTAATATTATTACTTACCTTATCATGCCACCCAACACAGAAAGATAGAACGCAGACACCTATGATCAAACACAGCGAGCTAACCTTTTCATGTGTTCCATTTTCAATGGCCATCTCTCACACATAAAGGAAGATGTAGTGAACTACCAGGCAGTACACATGCTCTCTGGTCAACAGCCAACCAGATATCACGCTAACTGAGACAGAGATGGCATAAGTTGGCGCATGCCGAGCGAGACTTCCATATTCGTGCTGAAATTTCATCAGCGACCATCCCGATGGCACTGGCTGATGTGATTCCCCAAATAAGTGCCATGGTCAACACGCTCAACCACAACTTCACTCCATATATTTAACTTAAGAGTCAATGTAGTCCAGACGAATGCCAAACATTCGAAGATCGCCGCTCAGTGCAAGGTATTCAGAAGACTCTGTTTCGTCAGCGTCTTCCCCTAAAAGACGGATTTCATTCACATATTCTGAGTCAACGAGATTATTCCCTGAAGACAAGTCAATCCTTGAGTCGCTGAAGTCAGCCAGGGTTAAATCGATTGGTACATCTACGTTGAAGTTAAGCAGAAACGGGGGCATAAGGGTTGGGTATCCGTGACGTACACCACCACTGTTTGTCGTCACAGTTGTCAGATGACATCAGTGTGAGTACTGTACCTTGATCAGTGCGATGTGCCTTCTCACCATTATATTCACAGTGATTATCACAAGAAAACTTTTCCTACCTCACATATACTGATACAATCAGTAACTTACGCCATTTCACTCGTAGAACGCAAACGAATGTAGAAAACCAGAATATCTGCACATTGGATCCGAAATCAGAAAGTATCAAATGGATTAAATCAAATTCGTAATTTGCACACTAATTTACAATTTAATGTTTTCCAGGAGGTGAAATTTCATTGGTAATTAATTGAAACTGAAATTATTCACATCACGCACAAAATGTGTGAAATGCGCAATTTCATAAATGGTAACCACGATAGAAAGCATAAATGTGTCTAATTCCATGCTACTACTGAATGATCGTCAATTTGGTCTAAACGACCAACACACATTCAACTCATTGTTTCCCAACTGAAGACAATCTGTGAATAATCTTGGAGCCAAACTAACCAAGTTAAATGCTTGCAGATAATATGAAGAAGGAGTTGTGCAGTTAGGATTGAAGGTGCAGAAGGTGTTGAATAGCAAATCAGCTGAGTAACAACGTGATGAGTTGGACTCAAATCGTCGAAATAGAAGACAAGAGAAATTTGATTACAGCAAATGTGTAGAGTTTAAATCCAACGGTAGAGTTTTCGAAGAAAGAGAAAGACATCTAGTTACCAAGGCATGCTCACACTGATGGCTGTCTCATTCCGAAAACATAAGTCGGATTTCAAACAACTTATTCGACAAACTCCATGGGAATTTATTTATGTTTTCTGTCGATAACTCCAAAAGATTTATTGGTGTCTACCTCATGACACGTATCAACGAGACGCCCGACTGTAGAACTATTGAAATCGTAGGTTCCCTTGAGATGCAGACATCTTGATGAGTGTTCAGATAATATTCTCGATTGTCTCTGTGATAGGACCCAGCATAAAATAGTATATCATCCTTTCTCACAAACGATGTGATTTATCTTGTGATGGAGTTACTACGTAGATCTATCATATCTCACGCATATTGTGATGTAGTGAGTGATCAATTCATCATGCGTTGTCTCGTCTTGGTCTTTGTCGGATCGTCAACAAATCAGAATATATATTTCCAGCCGATAAGAACACTCCATTCTCACGGCTGTGAAGCGACTTCATTGTGGTAAAATAATGTATAAATATGACGTTTAGATTCCGAATAAATTTACAATACAATAACTTACAGTCACACGCCAGCCTTTGTCTTTTGACATTCGAGTGACTCAGTGAATCGGAAGTACAGCGGACAAATCGACATATTAACTTGTCATTCGAGTTCATTGCCGTTATAACAAATAGCAGGCGCAGACACAACAATGTCGTGACGCGTTTATTCAGTTCACTGCAGTTGTCACACTTCTCTTCCTCAGGTAACGGAGTATCTTTACTATTTCATTTATTTCGATTACGTATTCTTTGGCTTCAATCTCTTTCCTCTCCAGACATGATTCATTTTACCCCGTCCTTTTTGTATTTGTGATTTGGGTTACTGATCCCACCTTATGGTCACGCAGTCTATTATTCACCTCACTGTCATCATTATTCAACTACTTTCCACACTGTATCCAGACGTCAGTTTCTCTGTTCAAACTTGAACCTTCTGTGTGTGAGTGTGTATGCAGGTGTAATTTCTGAGCAGTGATAACTGATGTTGGAATCTCTCCTGTAAACTGATATCATGTCTTACTTACAAGGACGTTAGAACCGCTATCTGTATAGACTTAATTCACTTGGTGTCTAAGCTGTAGGCAGCTGATTACAGGCCGACGAATTACAAATGATGGTGTTGTCCCATTCAGAACAAACCATTGCTGTTGTTTTTCCCACAATCAAGTCCACGAAATGGAAAATATGTGCATGAATTTCGGTTGAAACTGAGACCCTTATCAGACAACCAATGATTTAGGCTGACTTTAATTTGTAAAATATATAGTTCTATAAAGTACTGGTAGAATTAAATATATGTATATATTGTTCATTTCCTGTGTCCTATAGTGGGATATACTTCACTCTCGAATTCATATGGGCCTTCGTCAGAACGGTGTCAACAGTTTTCCCCTGGAATATGATATATCTAATAATAATGGTAAGCCGAAATGTTGCGCGTTTGACTTCATTTCACTTGAAGCTTCCACTTTCACTCAAGATCAAGTAGTTTGATGTTGACAGAGTTCTACGCCTGATATATTGAGAGACTCTCAGACATTGAATTGTACTGAATTTTTGAGTAGCGGTGGTGTTGTTTTCAATTATGAATTTTGAGGATCGGAGCATCAGATACAGCCAAAATTCCCTCTATTTAATTCGGTATGTTCTGCCGTCTAGGCACGTAGCCCGGAATCAGACGCAAACCACTTTTGTGGGATGGTCATTATTGCACACTCACCACACCGGTGCGTAACTACACCAGGCTCATTGACATTCAGCCACCTGAGCCGGATTTTAATCACCCATGAATGCTGACTACTATCAACTCGTGAAACAGCGCTACAACCGCTAAACACAGCCATCAGTGAGTATCAACCTAATCTTTTCAAGGTGGATGTCAATGGTCAGGGGGCTTCTCAGTACAGCCTAATGAATTCCTTACAGTCGCTGTAAATGAACTGAAGAAAGATACATACATGCTATTATTATTGTATCCTTTATTTCCAAGAGAAACATAGGGCTTCAGCAGCACGTCTCCATTTCCTTCGGTTTTCTGCCAACGTTTTCACCCCGCTCCAAGTCTGCCCACATGCTTCCATCTCCTCTTCACATGACCTCCTCCAAGTCACCCTCACACTGATGACCAACTCGCCGCTTCGCTTTCGCGTTACACTCGAGAGATGGTCTGTCGTGTGATGTCACTTGATGGTTCCCTCAGAGTATGACCAATCCAATCCATCTCCATTTCTTCCTGCCTATTTGTTTCACAATCGGTTCCTGCTGGGTTGGTTCGCTCATTGCTAGAGATCCCTATTGCTGATCTTTTCTGACCGGCCGTCTGATCTTGAGTAGTATTGAGCGAAGACAACTGTTAATGGAGGTCTGTAGTTTGTTTGAGGTGCTCTTTACGACGCGCTGGCCAAGTCTCTGATCCGTATAGTAGCACTGACTGACTTCACATTGGAGTCGAAAATCCGGATGTTATTATATTCATGATGAGTGCTGTTGACCTCCACACAGACTTGAGAGTAATGAAAGCTTGTCTTGCTTTTCCGATTCTGGCTTTGACATCCTCGTCAGTTCCGCCTGTAGTTGAAACGATGCTTCCCAGGTAAGTGGGTAGGTGAAGGAGATTGTTTCTTTCAGGTTCCTCCCATTTATGCTGGCTAATTGTTGTCTGTTGTTGCTGTTGTTGTTGGTGTTGCTGTTGGCCAGGAATCTTCATCACTTACATCTGTTTTTATCTATGTTCACCTGTACATACATTTTAAGCTGTCTTAAAATAACTTAAACTGATTTCAATGTAGATTTCGTATGAAGACGACGTACTACTCCTCGTATCCCGAAGGTTCTAGTTGAGTCGATTTCCAGTATTGGGGTCTCGGGTGCGCAATACTTATGTGTTGTTACCACACTAATTAGACGAGATAGGTTCTCAGTAATACAGCACCTTTTTTCAATGATACTTCACTAATATTGGTTCCCGACTCCAGGCCAACATTAAACTTTACTTTCACGAGGTAAATAAGCTTAACGGTTATTTCACAAACCAGTGATAAATTATCTTCATTAAACTACGTTGTCAATACTCTCTACTGTCTTTCATTTGCTTCTCACCAACAGACAATTCTCTCCTCCATCATCATCGCCGCAGAATCACTGGCCTACTATGATGATGTCCCACTGATTGTTTTCGCATTCATATGGGTGATGTTACAAGTCGTTGTCTCGTTCGCAATATTCATTCCGAATGATTTCACTCAGACATGGTTAACACGAATAATCAACGTTGTGTATACTGTGACGATATTGGGTGGTCAAATCGCCTTCTTTGTGCGACAGCAGGCTAAGGTGAGTTGGAGATGTATTTTTGTTCACCTTCGAGACTAATGATTTCCCCCATATTGTGAAATTTTCCAAACACCGCAACAAGTATTGTTAATTTTATTTTCGATGGTTCGTGTTCACCGGCATTTTAATGATTTCGAGATTGATGTCAAAGTACCTTCATTTACAAAACCATTGAAAAACCATCATCATGGAGTACTGGTCAGTTCCTTAGTCTTCATGTGTCCTCGATGGCCAATCATTCACTGAGGCAGAACTCAATCAACCATCACTTCTAAGTTGTTCCATTCTGTACCATCGATATGCCATCATCAAACAGTCCCTTCCACGAGAACACTCAAGCCACCCATCACACAGTTGACCTCTCTGGTCGAAGCTTCACATTAATACACTTACGAAACATCCATCAAGAAACCATCAGTCACATATACATTGACATTTGTGTGTCCACTGCTCCCATGGTGTTCAATGGTTTTATCTAATTTGCGTCGTTTGGTGAGTATGGTGAAGAATTTCTCTTTTTCCCATCTTTTCTCTTCACATCAGATTGCTCTACTTATCGCTGGGGCTGTTGGATTCCCATGCACATGTTATGTAAGTCGAATTTCAACATTGATCAACACTTTTTTTTCATTATGATGTCGACTATGATATACGCAACGACCATGGTTCTCTGGTGTGTCGCTCATGATTTGAGGCATCGGTTGTTCAATGGTTGGCCAACATAGTAGACGTCCAGGTTTGATTCCTAGACATCAGTGCTATGAAAAGCTCCACCTGGTCAACCAGCCAGTAGTAAGACTGAAAATGGTGAAAGGATTGGGTGGACATCATGCTAGAAATCGTACACTGTTTAGAAATAACATCGCTATTGAATCTTCAGGGCTTAAGCTTGAACCTCCATGTTAATCTTGGAGTGGAGAAAGGTAAAAAGCACCTAAAGAAACGTAACTACACGTGTTTGGCATCTCTACGAATGAAGTGTTTCAACCTATCACAGAAGCATAAAACTGAGTAAAATTCGATGAATTTACCAGTCCACTAGTTTGCTTTCTAGCCTTATGCCCGGGAAGTAGGTGATGTAGTGGGTTGAAGGGTTCACCCTTCTTCGGAAAATCAATACATCCTGAGAAGAAGCTACAAATCACGTGAAATTTTATAAAAAGAAACTGATTCTTAGCTGAAATCAGATAGGCGGTATGACGCAGTTTGGTGGAGGAATTCAAAATACCTGTCAGGCGACATGTTCAGGTCGCCAAATAAATGCAAAGATATGGTACAGAGGTGGTAGGAATCTAAGGGAGCAGGTGGACTATCTAGTCAGTAATCTGCTCAGACGAAAACAATGAGCGCACTGAGGGAGTGAGTGGCTACCATGACGTAACCAGTGGCAGACGAAGCTACAGTGCACTGGAAACCAATATCTTCAGAGTATATGACAATCATATTCAACTGGGATGGTAGGAAGGCCACAATTACACAATGCGACGCACAATGTTAGAAGCAACTCACAACACGAGGAGAATGAGGATATCTAAAAACAACTGCAAACAATAATGGACAGCACCCTGAATGGCGATAGCAAATTCCTAATCGGCGATATGAATGTTAAACTAAAAGCAGAGGGAGATTCATCACGAATCCTCTGCCTGTCAGTGGAACGGATGAGAAGGGAGAACCCTTCTCGTAATCCCCTGCTTTGCATGGTTCTTTGATTTTAGGGAGCATGTGCAAGCAAATCAATGATATGCACAAGTCGAGACCACAAAAGATATGTTGATATCACTGTTGCAAGAGGTTTGTAATAGAGGCAAGGTAGCTACTGATTGGAGGAGAAAGGCCTCCATGTCAAACTACCAAAATAGGGCAACGTAGGCTTCCGAGAAAACTGACGCGGAATCATGCCCTTATCCACGTCAAGCGACATATTAGGTGGTGTTCCGATCGAATTACAACTCTACACATCATCGTTAAACAGGGTATAGGATGACAGTCAAATCTCTGCCTCAGCTTCATCAATACTGGAAAAGAAGTCGACTAGGTTGACCGCTAAGTAACTTGCAAATTGTTTCAACACAATGGAATATAGTGTCGCAAACCTTTATCAAGCTCATTCAACAGCTATATGACAACGATGTCCTATGACAAGTGATCCATAACGAAAACCTCCCCAAAGCTTTCGAAGTTAAGACAAGTTTACCTACTATCACTGACGACATTTCTGATTGTGGCGAACTGCGTTGAGTGGTAGAACGTGTTTTAACAGCCAGCAGATAGGAATACGTTGGACCGGTGAGAGGACTCTTGATGATCTGGCTTCAAGTGAGCATAGAGTAGATAAAGGTGATGAAATTATGTGGTCAACCGACAAGTAGAAGTATCGATTTCTACTAAGGAGATGAATCTGAACGAGGTCGATTCGTTCAGTCATCTAGACAGCATTGTTTCAACTATAGGAGGAATCCGTGAGATGTCAGAGGCAGCCAGAATTGGGATGGCAAATCAGTGTTTTATCATTCTTCAATCAGTTTGGAAACCTGTCGTATGGAAAACCACGATGCGTTTATGTTCAGAAAACCTTCAAATTTCATTTGTAGCTGTACTAAGAACTCTGAGTGACTGCATCGGCTGATGCCAGATTTTCGTATGACCACTACAACGAACTCTTCTCGAGCTAATACAGCTCGTCGGAGTAGGTGATGGCTCAGCATGGCCAACTCCTGTCCTAGCTATGTCTAACTCATCGAATGACTCCCCTCACTGTTCGCCTGACTTTATTATTTATCACCATATTCTTTGCCACTTAACAAGGAAGACGGAACGCAGTTAGCCAACCTCTTCATATCCAGCATCTTCAATGCGCATGTCACACTAACAGTGATAATGGAAGTCAGAGTGGACCGCTGTGTGGACCATACATCCTTTGATCGATATCCAAATAGCACATTCTCAGCAGAGATTACGTGAAGCAGAATATGTCACACGAAACTTCTGAATCTCTGATGACATTTCGTCAGCTATGAGTCAATCTATTAGAGCTGAGACAACCCTCTTAACAAAAGAAGTGCTGGTCAACAAACCCAAACACTTCACTTATTATCTTTAAGCGATGAATCAACTTGTGTACTCCTGAGGAAATGTCTTACGTTTGGTAGAAATGAATTAGGCAAAGATATTTTGAAAACTTCTGCTCAAAGTGTTTTTAAGACTGCATTTCATCAGCTTATTCATTATGGAACAAGATATCATCCTTCCACTAAAAATCAACGAAACACCTACTAGGTAACTATTTGAAGCTTAGTTACTAAAGTCTGTCGGTTCCGACTTCACTAGTGCATCTATGATGACATTAAACAGAAGTAGGGACCGTGGCTATTCCTGATGGGCACCACTTATTGTCACTACTTCAGGTGACCACTGTCTGTGGGATCATCAACATCTAGGGCTACTTTCTGTTTCTCATGTGTCGAAAAATTCGTCGGGTGTGTTTTAGGACATTTCCTCCAAGTCACTGTTAGTCAAATCACCAGCTCAATGTTTCCCATTCGAATTCCATTCCACCAGCGACCTCACTGGCGAGTGATGTCACTCAGTGGTCTCCACAGTATATGTCCAAAACATCAATATCCATACTTCTCAGCAACTTTGTCGAGCACTAAGATATTCGCTTGTTCGTCTCCAGACATTCTTATTTGCTTGTCCTTTTTGACAGGTCAGCTAATTCTCACTGTTGAGCAAAGGAAACTGTTGATGACAAAGTGTTGGTAGTAGCCCGCTAAAAATGATTTATACGACACCTGTGCTATTTAAATGTTATGTATATTCGACCAGTGGTGACTTGACAATAGTTGCAAGCTCAACCCCACTCTTGTTTCGTTCAACCGAGAAAGTGAAAAAGACTTCTATTCTGATTTGAGTTGAAGCTAACTCTACTTCCCCACTAAACAGAACTCTATCATCTATCTCATCAACACTTTTTATTCACTTTCCTTCTTTCTTTCTTTCTTTCATCGGCGTTGTTACATTGTCACTGAAACCAGTTACTTACAAAAGAAGTGAAATGGGTATTTGGACAAGGCACACGCTACTATCCAGAGAGTAATATTGTCAAACCTGCTCGAAATATCTACGGTTATTGTTGGAGTTTATTTCTCACAGTGATGTGGATATATTCACCATTCGGAATTAGGACTGATCCATTCGCGCCCCAAGGATAGACAGAAGACACCCCACAGACCATTAGATTTCCAGCCGATGGCAGTTTGCAGTTTCTACACTTTCCTTTTGATTGTATTTCTCACTGTCATCTCTGAATACTATCACTAAATAAATATATATTCGAACAAGTGAAAGTATTGTATTCTCATTTGATTGGTTGGATTAGTGCGGGGTGTGAGGGGGTTAAAAGTGCCATTTTCAGTCACCAAGCTGGACAGTTAGATATTCATGTGAGCAAAGCTGAAGTGTAGTGTAATTTCTTGGTTAGGCTGGTCTTGGAAGCGACCTAGAGATCATTTGGGCAATGCAACCACACCATCCTCCTCGTTGCTAATTCTCATGTATCTCTGTTCAGAAGGAGAGGTGTGTGGATATACGCATGTCTTATGGGATATAATGAAGACGTCGGTAAAATAGCTTAATGATTCTAACGATAATCATGATAGTCATTTGATTCTTCGCCACAAGTATTCATACAGGATGTCGTTTTCAACCTGTGTACATATTGCATCAACATATCTCCTTTCACAAATATGTGAATAAATAAATACGTCAAAATGGTAAAATGAATCAATATAATCTCAAAATGAGGTAGTTAGCAGAAGAGGGGTGCATGTGTAATTATAAAATGCAGGTAATCATTCACTTTCTATTTACACATTTTCTAACAGCTTTCAATAATCGCTATTATGAAATTCGTCCCTCTCCACAAAACATCCCTGCTAAATATGGTGTGGTGGGATTTATTTATTCAGCAGTAGTTCGACCATAAATTCGTATGAAATTTCTTATGCTTTCACCCGAAATGTATTCAAATCAAGTCACAATTGAGTAGGCGATATTGAAATTCAAACTGAGAGTGTAGGCTCGTGCTTAATTCTACTGTGGTGTATCTGGCTATGGAAATAGTGACTGCATTAGTTCCACGAAGTATATTCTGTGAAATTTGTGCGAGCATCTGTACGCCTTGATGGCCTAGGAAGATGAAGTGTGTCGGCGGAAACACTAGATACAGCACTCTGTATAAAAATCCAAGTGTTTCTCTTTCAACCGATAAACCACTTGTTCTACTTAGATCAGAGTTGCACTAAAATAATTAATTCATTATCCAATATAATCGAAATTCATAAATTTCAGGGTCACAAATTTCGAGTGACTATGAATTACTGGGATGTGTGCACTGAAAGTAGATAAACTTAACACGTTAGCGTGCCGTGAATGGTTGACTTGGTGAGCACCTTTAGCTTGTTGGGCTGACATAATATCGATGGCCCCTTATCGAATTGAAAATGCTGCTGGTCAGTTAATCTGAGGAAATACTTACCACAACAGATCAAATCCCAATCCTGCTTACCTGCCTAATGAGACCTTACAACGAGACCAACAGAAAATTTGAAATCCAGTGATGGCAGAATTAATTAAATAACTGTTAACATAGGTGAGATGGGAATAATTTCCCTCTGCGTATAATGGATTGGTTGAATATCACTCCACTGGTTGTGGTGCTTCGTGTAAGGCCGGTGCAGTGTCCGTTAAATCTTATGCTTTCATTCGAAGAGATACACGCGAAGATTGTGAATAAGGATGAGGATGTCCAGTACTAGAGACGATGACTGTATCCAATGAATTGCTTGCTAGAATCGAAATGTCTATCAACAACAATATCACTCAGTTGAGTCGAGGACAGACACAGCACTGACGTTGCTAAATGCCATCAAAGTCTCAAGGAATATAGAACAGTATTATTATTATATTATTATTCCCTTGAGTTCCGAGTGGAACATAGGGTTTTAAAAACACATCTTCACTTTGTCCTATATTCTGCCGTCTTCCTCAGCTTGAGTCACGATTGCCCAGTATCTCTCATCTCTTCCCCAGCCAAACATTCTCCTCCATGTCGCCCTAGGACGAACCAATCGTCGCTTACCATTCAGATTCCGCTCGACGGCCTACTGTATGATATCATCCGACGGTCTCCTCAATGCATTCTCGATCCACCTCCATTGCCTTATACATATTTGTTGAGCGATCGGCTCATGGTTGGTTTGTTTCCAGCCAGAGTTTCTTGTTACCAATTATCTTTGATTGACTGGTCATTTTATCTTCAGTATGAAGCATACAAAGACAACTGTTGATGGAGTCTGCAACCTGTTGGAAATCCTTTTCGTCGTCACATGCAGTGCAAGTTTCTGACCCGTAAAGAAGAACTTACTGACTGAATTGACATTGGTGTTGAAAATCCGAATCTTGTTCCTTCTGCTGGCTGAGTGACAGCAGATTTCCAAACTGGCTTCAGGTTGATCAAGGCGTGTGTATCTTACCTCTCTGATTCTAACAAGCTTTGAAATCTTCATCCACTCCGTTGCCTTTGGTTGAAACTATGCTTCATAGATAAGTGAAGTTAAATATAAGTGCTCCAATTTATTCTTCAGATAGGATTTCGGATTGTGTACTTTGGAGGTTAGGAGTTTGATTAGCTATCCTAGGTGACTTGGGGACTTGTCAGTTGTTTTGAGGATCAGATTCTCAGGGGTGTTGGTACTTGATGTGACATTCCAAATTGATTCGACTAAGACTTTTATGTGTGATACAAAATTCAAAACTAAATGACAAGCAGGCTTCAGAATGTAGCTGATCTGATTCGACATTGCTCATCTCGCACATAAATTGCTTACCCTTCACAACAGGTTTGTGAAATGGTTACTCTTGTTATAATTCTAAGAATGGTCTTCGTCAAATTGTCTTAAACTGAATCCTTCCAAATATTAGACTGTTAATTTCAGTTTCCGATGTAAAGTAAAGTTAAATAAAGCTGTTGGTTCCTATGACCCTTGCAAAATTGATGACACTGATATAGAAATCAAGTCTGAATTTAGTATCTTGGACTTATTCTCTCTTCTGATCTCTCCTGGTCTTCCCATGTCTTAGCGACTTCTTAAAGCATATTTCATCTGACCTTTTACATTAAGAAGTTAAGCCACTCAGGCATAACTCAACCTCTCCTCTTACACTTTGTCAATTCGTGCATCTGACTTATTCTTGTTTACTGTTCACCCTTATTCTTTCCTGGATTGCTTAAAAAGACCACGTCATACTTCGTAGAACTATGAAGACTGTCATTAGGTCGAGTGGTATCCCATTAGGCCACATCGTTGACATTTTCACAGATATGCACCTGATGTCATACAACATATTTTCAGAAGAATTTATGCACGTACGTCTGAGTATAAAAATTCCACTACACCATATCTGGCACATACTTTATGTAATGAAAATAGTGTTAGACACGAACTAACTAACTAACCTTCTTTGCACTACTAAATAAACCATTTCCTCCACCCATTACAACATCAACCTTTGTCGTTATTGTACTTCTTATATTCATGAACCTCTCAATTTTTTGTTTTTATTTGTTTATTTTTTCATTAGTGTGAACATCATTTATGCTGTGTTGTAATTGTTAATTTTGTATTTCCCCTCACCATACTGTATCAACAGAACATCAGATTCAATAATCTGTAACATGCTACGATTTTCAAACTGAATCGCCAATACTGTTTGAAACAAACTCACTGTTAGTATTATTATTTTTATTGTATTTACTATTCTCATTTTGTACTTCGAATATTTTTCACTTTATACCATAAATATGAACGAATTCCTCTGGTTAACTTTGTTTTAATTTTTTTAATTTTATTTACAATTTGAGTAAATCAGATGCAGTATTGTGACAAATGTTGAGAATTCCATTCTGTTGTATTATAAGTACAGTTTTTTGAATAAAGTAGATTGTTATTATTATTATTATTATTATTATTATTATCATTAAAGAATAAAAATCACTGCTTTGATTAATGGGTTGTACTTCGTATTCATTCTAAGGATTAATTTTACATAATTTAAGTATATGTGAGTTTAAAAATAAGAATGATGTAAAATAACGTGATCAATTAGGAACACATAAATCAGCAAACTCATCACTTCTAGTCACTTCTCTACAAAACTGTAACATTATTCATTATTATTATTATTATCCCACAGGATTAAACAGAAAGAGAATCGGTATTGTGTGTTCGCAAAGCCCAGACGACAACTTCTGAAGGCCGACTGAATACTACCTGTTTGGTGTGGTTCTTGAAATAGTGTCCAAATGAAGGCTCTACCTTGAGCTACGAACCACCGTGAAACAAGTTAATGTAGGAAATCCCCCCCCTCTAATCAAACTGGCTGCATTACTGGTTTTATGTTCATCCAAGTAAAATACACTACTTCCAGTTACACTCTTATTTTCCACCAGTGCCATTTTGCCCTCATACCCTTCCAACATGGTGTAGGGGATTTACACACCGTCATGTTAAATGCTCCTAGTTTAACATTCAGTTCATCCATTGTAGCTTGCGGACAGTTTGATTTTTTTTTATTACAGTTTGATTCCACATTGTATTTTGGTACAAGCATGGAATTTTCAGCATGTGATAACGGTAGCCCAAATTTTGCAGGCCGACCATAGATATCAGGCCGGGGATCGAACCTCGGACCATGTGCATGGTCGGCGAGAGTCCTAACCACTGTGCCATCGACGCACTGCTGACCACCACCGCTCCAGGGTTGTGACTTTCAGTCTCTTTATATTATCACAATACAAGAAATCCCTTAGAAGCACTAAACATCTCCACAATTGTTGCTTTCACCCTGCACATCCAAAGAATAATAGTTGTCAGATATAATGTTTAATTAAAACGCTAAATTGTGATACAGTATTCAATTTAATTTGTTTACTTTTCACTTTTCAATAATATCAATGTCTTTTCCTCATTTACATATGTTTACCTTAATATACCAGAAGTAGTCTACATATTTTGTCGACCTTCTTAAACACCATCATGGTTTAGTACTTGTAAATCTCGGAAGAGAAACAACACTAAGAAGAAATGAAACAAAAATAGAAATGAGACAGTTCAATTATGAGAAAAATTTACTTTGAAATATCACATAGTGTTGTACAGTAATATTCACTGATGACGTGTCGAGCACAAACTATTGCCCCTCATAATCATAATGTGCGTCGGTGGCACAGTGGTTAGGACTCTAGCCGACCATGCACATGGTCCGGGGTTCGAGCCCACGCCGGCGCACACCTGATATCTATGGTCGGCCTGCGAAATTTGGGCTACCGATATCCATGCTGAATATTCCATACTTGTACCAAAAGTACAGTGTGGAATCAAGCTGTAAATCAAAAAAAAAATATCAAGGTATTCACACAACTTTCTTACTTCGTTTATACAATTCCATTATTACTTTTCATCGCTTGACTTGATTGGTGGTAGTATTCTCTATATTTCTCGTATGAGTAATGAGTCATTCCTATTACATGTGTTTGGTGTGGACTAGATGAACAATTATTATTATTATTTTATCCTTTAATTCCTAGAGGAACATAGGACTAATAATACTAGTAGAATATATGGTACTATTAAAGTACTTAAACCAGGTTACCCCTTACGATTAATAGTAGATTTCAGGAATACCCCTACTTATGAATTATCAAACACTCAGCTCTAATATTAAGTCCCATTAGACTAACTAATCCATATGAGATGGAAAAGAAACTAAATAACATTCAACTAGACAATGATGAAACAATGGTTAGTTTTGATATCACTAATCAATATGGCCCTAGAAGCAGTTAAAATAGAACTAACTGCGGATCCTGAACTCAGTCGTAGGACAAAGCTGTCCATTGAAGAAATTATTTTAGGGATTCAGTTATGCCTCACATCTGCTACTACTATCTTTAAATTCCAAGGCAAAATACAAAAACAAACTGAAGGTGTAGCAATGGGATCACCAATATCCCCTATCGTAGCAGACATATTTATGGACAGCTGGGAAAATAGTGTTGCTCTTAATAAAATTAATCCCACTCCAAAAATATGATGGAGATATGTGGATGACGCTTTCACAGTGTTAAAAACAGAACACATCTCTAGCTTCTTGACACATATAAACTCACAAGTAGAGAGAATAAATTTCACATTTGAATCGGAAAATGAACAAGGAGAATTAGCTGTGATGTTAGATTGTAAAATAAAACGAATAAAAGAAGGTAAACTACACACTAGTGTGTACAGTAAACCAACTCATTCTAATAGATACTTAGACTTTAATTCATCTCATCCGTTAACTGTTAAGGCAGGCTTAGTTAAGTATCTAACAAACCGAGCAGTAGCACTAAGGAGCACAAGAAAAGACCTAAATGATGAAATTAAACAGATAGAAGAAGCAATTAACTGGTGGATGGTGACTAGCAGTGGAATCAAGGATGGGCACTTCATCCTATTTGAGACTCATCATCTGGATGAACCTGCATTTCTCAGTGAGTGATGATGTTCCCACCGAGGCTCGAACGCAGTGCTCATAGTTTCAAACGCCAAAGCGTTATCCACTAGACCACTTGGGTAACGAGAGCCACCTCTTGAGCACTTCGGTCCAATCAATCGACGGGAAAATCTCAAATTCAATTAGATAGAAGAAGCGTTGGTGTTGAATAACTATCCTATAAAATTCATTAGGAAGATCGAAAAATGGCCGAACGAAAAATAAAAATAATTGTGAAACTAGTAATAATAACATAAATAAGAGAGAATATAAGTCATCTACTGTTATACCATATAAGAAGGGGACATCTGAGACCCTACGTAGGATTCTAAATAAAGCAGGAATTAGGGTGGCATTTAAACCTACAAACTCACTCAGACAGGACAAGCTCTGTAGGCTAAAAGACCCTGTCGGTCAACCCAATTAGACAAAATAATATAATTTACAACATAGCCTGCAATGACTGTCAGTGAGATCAACTACATAGGTCAAACTAGTAGGTCGGCGGTAGTCAGATTGTCAGAACATAAGAATTTAGCTAAGGTAAGAATGGTTGACCCTACCCGAGAAGATAAGTAATTTAGGAAAAATCTCAGCAACTGCACTGCATGCATTCACACACAACCACACAATAGTGTGGTGGGAGAGGGTTAAAATTCTAAAAAGTAATCTAGATAGGTGGAGAGAGAAGTTGATTACTGAATTCTTGTTCACGGAGTTTACACCCAACACATGCAATAGGAATGATTCATCACTCATACGAGAAATATAGAGAATACTACCACCAATCAAGTCAAGCGATGAAAAGTAATAATGGAATTGTATAAACGAAGTAAGAAAGTTGTGTGATTACCTTGATATGATTATGAGGGGCAATAGTTTGTGCTCGACACGTCATCAGTGAATATTACTGTACAACACTGCGTGATTTATTGGAATACATTTCATCCATAATGGAATTATACTTTACAACAGTGCACAAGTTCTATTCTTAAAGAAATGAGACAAGGAAATATACTGATAAAAACATTATATAGGTCAAAGTGGACATCCTCTTCGTCACCTTATCAAAGAGCGTAAGCTAGCTTTCAAGAGTCAGAATAATCATTCCTTCATATCAGTGCATTCAGACAACTAGGGATATCAGTTAGACTAAAAACGTGTACGAATCTTAGACAACTGAATCGCTAAGAATCCCAGTGGATTAGTACAAGCCTAATATTCCGACTAATCTGTAACTAACACATACACACTGACATAGATAAGATTAATCGGACAGTTAGAAGGGAGATTACCTGGAAGACAAAACCAAATGTCTGGTCGATAAAATGATCATAAACAATACGAGTTACCAAAATGATGAGAAAATTCACATAAACAAACAGACATGTTTAGCTCACCAAGAGGGATGACTAATAGACTTATAGAGAATTTGCTTACGTAGATTTGGTTTTATGCCTTTAATGACGATTGACTCAGCAATCTATGTGCTCAGAAAGAGACAGTGGTGGTCAATATTGCACTGCCTCGGTAATAACAAAGCTGAGAAATTTCATTACTCATTTTTGTCTTGTTTACAAAACTTGATCTTTCGGCTTAACATGAACACCATCCTACCCCCTTTTTGTCTCTTTTATAAAAACGTGTCTATCTGGGGTGACATAACCCACTACTTTGTATACTCTTTCTAGTTAAACTTCATTTCTACCATCAAAACAGCTGTTGTTGTTTTGTTTCCAAGCTTCGTCATGCAATTCTATGATAAATAATCCATCCTTTTCACTCTTAGTGATTCAATCACTTCCATTATTCCTGACCAGTGTTACTCTCTGTTGCAATCAATTACTTCACTATGCTTGTAAAGAAAGTTTGTTGACATCTTTAATTTAATTTATAATTTTTTGTATTATTTAAGTTGTAGCTAACCAGTTGAGAAGAATCCACGAAATAATAATAATAGAAATAAAAGCATAAGCTCAGATTATCCTAGTACATTTGTGGTTCTTGCTCTATTCAAATTTATTCATTGTGTGATAATTCCCACCATGGTAGAGCAATGTTTCTAGCAGAAATAAGTGAATGTATCCACTTCTGTCAAATAGCGAATGAAACCTGGATGGTAGAGTGAAATCTGAATGGGAAGAAACAAGTTGTGTGTGGTTCCGATGATGAAATGGAGGATATCACGTTGTGACGAAGTAAAAGCATGTGGACAGTTGTGGACGTTGATGAAAGTGAAGTTAGAGAGGAGAGTGTAATGGAGATGCACCACTG